CGATGAGCATCATCACAGCATGGAGGTTATCATCGTTGCCAGCAATTTCAAGCTGACGAGTCACGAAGACTTGGACAAACTTGGAAACTTGGCGATTGCCTCGGAAACAGTGTCAGCATGAATGTTCCAGTTTTCTGGTGGAACCGACCTCGAATCTCTTCACGCAACACTTCCACTCGAAATGGAAGTAATCTCGACAATTATGAAACAAGCGATTGCTCGAAACCCAACTTTTCTTCGTAGATTCAAAAGTAGTAGTGGTGGCACAAGTGATGAAGATAGTAGCAGTAAAGCGACGGTAAAGATGATACAGTTGATCATACTTTCATTTCGAGTGAAAGTGCGCGGTAAAGAGATTCACAGTTCGATTCCACCAGATGACTCATCAGCTTGAAGTTGCTGGCAACGATGATACCTTCCATGCTGCGATGATGCTCATCACATGACGGAATCGAAGAAGCTCAGCTCGGAACCGGCGTCAACAGGAATGTTGCACTAAAGCCGATCGGCAGCTGGTCAAGAGGACTCGGTCGTCGTCTTCTGGTGCAATCGACCTTTGAATCTCTTCACCGCACATTTTGACTCGAAATGAAAGTATGATCAACTGTATCATCTTTACCACCGTTTTACTGCTACTACCTTCATCACTTGTGCCACCACTACTACTTTTAAATATAGGAAGAAAAGTTGGGTTTCGAGCAATCGCTTGTTTCATAATTGTTGAGCTTACTTCCGTTTCGAGTGAAAGTGTTGCGTGAAGAGATTCGAATGTCGGTTCTACCAGAAGATGACGACCAATTACTCTTGACCAACTGTCGATTGGCCTTACTGGAAGATTCATGCTGACGCTGTTTCCGAGGCAGTCTCCATCGATTCAGATGAAAAGTTGCTAAGCTTTTGTCCAAGTTTTCGTGACTCGTCGGCTTGAAATTGCTGGCAACGATGATACCCTCCATGCTCACATCATCACAAGACAGAATCGAAGAAGCTCAGCTCGGAAACGGCTTCAACAGGAATGTTGCACTGAAGCCAATCGGCCGTCGTCT